CAGGGTGCTGCTTGCCATTGCTTACCAGGTAGAAAGTCCAGGTCCTGCTCCCTTGGGTCAGTGTTCCTCCTCCAGACACCAGCACCTGAGTCCCTTTAGCACCACCATATAAGCTGTGCCTACATAGACAGGAGCCTCCTTGGAGGCTCAGCATAATGGGAGACAGGAGGGATGAAGCCAATGGGGTGTCCATAGGAGTTTTTCCAAGATTCAGAGGGAAGACCTTGGGAGCTAAACCCTTCCCAGAGGGACCCCCCCCACGTCCTAACCTGGCCCCTAACCCTCTGTTAGCCCCTTTCTTCCAGAATAACACACTATTCTAAGCCAGAGACTTACAAAACAATTTTGTTTTGTTTTTGTTTTTGTATCAGGATCCCTTTATAGTCTTGAAAATCATTGAAGACTTCAAAGAGTTTTCCTTAATGTGGATCATATCTAATGCTAGTTACACTATTGGAAATTAAAACCAGAGGATTTTATGGATTTATTTACTTAATATGAAGAAGTTGGAGCTGTTGATCAAAGTATATATAATTATAGTGAGATAAAAAGAGAAAAACTCCAGAATAGGAAAATATAAAGCCGGAAAATGAGCTGGGGATTTAACTCAGTGGTTCCGGTGCCTGCCTCACAAGTGCAAGGGCCTGAGTTCAATCCCCAGCACCAAAAAAAATTTTAAAAGCCAGAAAATAAGTAAATGATTACCTGGGGCCACAGTAGGGTAGGACTGGGAATGAGTTAATGGTTATGGAATTCGTTTCGTGGGTGATGATGATCTAAATTTGATTGTGGTGATGAATATACAAATCTGTGCATATATACTCTAAAAACTTTTAAGTTGTATGCTTTTTGTTTTGTCTTTACCTTCACATACACTAAGCATGTGCTCTATTACTGCTAAACCAGGATTATGTATTTTAGTGGGTGATTTGTATGTGTATGAATTATACCTCAATAAAGTTGTTTTGTTCATTGCAAATAAAAATACCTATAGGAGAAATAAATTTTTACAAAAATAACAAATTTTTCTGAAAAAATAAATGGGGAAGCTTCTTTTTTTCTTTTTTTTTTAGGCAAGTCTCACTATGTTGCCTAGGCTGGCCTCAAACCTGCAGTCCTCTTGCCTCAGCCTCCCCAAGGACTTGGGATTACAGGGCTGTGCTACCATGCCCAGCTTCCCTGAGGTCTTTAGACCACACTGTTCTTATCTCCTGTGTGAATCTCTGCTCATTTTTTCCAAGCTAGGGATGGAACCAGGGCCTCCCACGTTAGGCAACTGTTCCACCTTGAGCTATGCCCCGGCCCTCTGATTACTTTTTGAAATCTATATCCCTTGACCTTCAAACCCATTATCTCTCATCCCATTGCAATGAGTCTTCAAAGCTGGTTATTCAAGCTCAGTCATGTGGAAGCCCCACTTCCTCGAGTTACCATGTGTAATGGTAGCCACTGGGTCCAGGGACTCAGTGAGGGAGCAGCTGGTAACTCGGGCCAGCCTAGCCACACCCTCTGAGAGTGACTCCCACTAGCAGTGATTCAGCGCTTCTGATGAATAATAAACTCCCAAGTTTCTGATAAGGAACTGTCCACGTGCACAGTTCCTAGAGATGGTGCTGTTTAGACCCAGGATGAGGAAGATGGGCTTGTCCTCAGTATTCCAGGCTTTGCAAGGCAAACCAGCTACTCTAAGGCTGGCGCCTGTAGGGACCACATCTGGGTTTGATTATTCCACCTCCCTTGTCCACACTGCAGGCACCAAGCCAAAGCAGAGCTGGAACTCAAGAGGCCCCTTGGGATGGCCCTGGTGCAGCCATGGGTGCAGTCAGAGAGGAGCTTGGCCTCTGAGGCTGCAGCCTCCTGAGATATCCTGAGGGTCTGGCTGGCCCCTCTTCCTCCTCCCCAGCCCCAGGGTTAGCCTCTGGTGGGGGATGACGGTCAGCTCCAATAAACTAGCTTAGGGAAAGGAGCATAGAGGACATCAGGTCCTCAGGATGTGATGTGCCCTAAAGCAGCAGGAACATTCTGTAGACTTAGGTGGGGTCGAAATAAAGAAATAAAGCAATAAAGCATGCAGCAGTCTTTGCTCAGTCCCTATCTAGTATTACCTGTTGCTGTCCTGCCCACCCCAACTGGAATTCACAGGCAGGGTGTTGGCCATCACTCAGTTCCCAGAAACTGCCCTTCATCCTCACTCCCACCCCTTCTTTCCTCCCCACTGCCCTCATTAAGCAACAAGCACAGGAAGCAGACAGCACTCCTGAGAGGTGGTCCTACTGTCAGCGCCAGGGCACCCAGCTGACAGGCCAGGGCGGGAGGAAGGAACTCGGGAGAGTGGGCTCTGGGGAGGACTGCTCTGCGTCTTCGTGGACCTCCCAGCCTGGGTTAGACATTGGGGTTTTCTGGGGACTTCCGTGTTGGAGTGGCCTCGACTAACCCAGAAATGTAGAGATCTGGAAAGATGGGTGGGGCTGGTAGGAACACAGGAAACCCAAGCCACCATCTCTTTAGTCTTGGGCTTCCCAACTTCTCTTTGGCAGCACAGCTACATTTCTTTGTGTGATTGTTTTTGTTTGTTTGAAACCAAGAGCTGCTCTGCCCACAATCTTGTAGGCTCCTCTGCCCGCCCCTACTGCCCACCTCCTGCCCCAGGAGCTTGGAACTATTTGGTAACTCCTGTTGCAATTTTCCTGCCCATTTCACAGATGGGGAAACAGTTCACCAGAAGTGACCTCTTGCCCACAGACTTAGAGTTGGGGGCCAGCCAGGGCCTGAGACCACTAGGTGTCAGGGATGTGCGCGTGCGCGCGCGCACACACACACACACACACACACACACACACACACACTCACGAAGGAGTGCACAGGGGCAAAGCAGAGGAGGGATGGAGGCTGGCTTTTAGTCGACAGCCACAGAGGAGCAGCGCAGCTTGGCAGCAGACTGGGAAAGAAAAATGACCCCATGCCTCTGACCTCTGGCCATGGGAATGGCCACCTCCCTGTCCCCAGGAAAGAGAGCCTGGAGCTGTAAGCTGTGAGAAGCTGGATGCTAGCTCACAGCGCTTTGGCCAGACAGCCTTTTGAGACCCTGCAACAGAAGCCATGTCTCTGCCTTGTGGCTTTCTTGTGTCCCCAGCCCCACTTCCCTCTGCCCACAGGGCAGGGCCATATTTGTACACATTACTGGGTAACAGTCCATGTGTTGGGAACCCATATGTCCACGCAGCCCGAACTGTGAGGCCAACATAGACTTCATGAGCCAAGATCCCTGTGCTATTTTCTGGATGCTCAATGGCTTTTGACACATCAGGTGGGTCTATAGTGTAAAAAGAGACTAAGAGGGGCTACAGCAAGAGTGGAAGGGCCTCAAGGCCCTAGGAGAAAAGGGAAAGGGGAGGGAGAGGGCAGCCACTCTCATGGGCACTGTCATCCCTGCCATGTTACCTGGTTTTGTTTCACTGACTTGTGATACTGGGTCACTGTTTCCATCTTACAGATGAGAAAATACAGACTCAGTGGTGTCAGGTAGCTCTCCTGAGGGTACAGCACAGCTGAACAAGCCAGGTGGGACAGAGGTCAAGGCAAGTGCTGTCCTTGCTTCTGCAAAGGGCCCAGCTCTAGACCTTAGCAGCCCGTGTTTCAGAAGCCCCCTCTGCTCACTCATGCCTCACCTTGCGTCCCTGGCTCCAGGTCCCCAGCATGATTTCAGCCACCAGAAAACCTTGCCAGGGATAGTACAGTTGCGCCTGACATTCATTTCTGCAAACTAGGAAATTAAGACCCAAGCTGGCCCTTCCTGAAGCTCATATGAAGGGATGGGAAACAGAGTGCACACAGGAAACCCTGGGTTTTATCCCTAGGCCGTGCACAGGAAAAGAAAGAATAAATGAACAGAAATCTTCCAGGTATAGTGGTGCATGCTTGAGGCAGAGGATCAAGGCCAGTCTGGGAAATTTAGCAAGACTCTGAGTCAAAATTAAAGCCTGGCATGGTGGCGCAGGCCTGTAATCCCAGCAATCTGGGAAACTGAGGCAGGAGGAGCACAAGTTTGAGCTCAGCCTGAGCCACTTAGTGAGACTCTATCTCAAAAAGTTTTTAAAAAAAAAGTGCTGGGAACAAAGTTCATTAAGAAAGCCCTGGGTTCAATCCCCACTACTACACACACAGAGAGAAAATAAAAACAGTAAAAGTGTATATTTTTATGGATAGAAGTCTGATCAAGAGATAACAGTGTAAACCTAGCAAGGCCTCTTTGTTCAGACCCTTCTTAGATCCGTGTATTTTTTAGGATAAAGACATTCCTTTCCTCCAGAGTACAGGGGAACACCACTGGCTCCCAGAAACGGGCTGTGGCCTGCTGAGAGGAAAGTCAGATAGGTCTTTTACTTCTGCTATTTCCTCAGACACCACAGTGCCATATTTTGGATACCATGTCCTGAGTCTCATCACCCCCAGACTCTTGTCCTCTTCATACCAGGGAACCTCTGTCCCAGCAGTACTTAACACCACTCTACTTGGTGTTGCTCACTTCCATCACCTCCCTTCCATTACAGGGACCCCACTGTACACCCTGATGTGGCCCCAGTGGGGTTTCCTCCTGGGTGGGTACCTGGAAGCTTCTCCTTAGGATCCCACAGCTCAAAAACCTCCAAGGCAAAGGACACTGAAGTTGTCTAAGGCCAGGCATGCTTAGCTTCATGGATGGGTAAAAGAGGTGAAGCATGGGGCCGTCTTGGGAGATGTTCATCATCCTGGACCCACAGGAACCGAAGAGCCTGAAATGCCGATTGTGGGTCTCTTCTTTCCCTCAGTTGTAGCCAAAGAGAGGGGCTTCTCTTGGTCCCCTGAGGGACATTCTGTAGCCACCTCCTTGCCAGGATCTGGGGGAGGCTGAGCTGGCTCCAGGGAGCTGCATATGCTGCTCTGGGGGATACAGGGGAGTTGGGGGGGGCACTTGACCTGGACACCCATCCCTCACCTCTGCACTTCCTCTGCTCTTGCAGGACCTGGGCATGGAGTCAACCTCCCTGGACGATGTCCTGTACCGCTATGCCAGCTTTCGGAACCTTGTGGACCCCATCACACATGACCTCATCATCAGCCTGGCACGCTACATCCACTGCCCTAAGCCGGTAGGGCATCCGTGGCCTAAGCCAGCCTGGCCCCGGGGTGTGAGGTGGGCACCTTTTTGGGCAAAATCATTCAAGGCCCAAGGAAGATGAGCCCCCTCCTTCAGGCACCAAGAGGGTGGGCTTCAGGTACCATCAACCCTGAAAGGTTTCCTTGGGCCCATGGATAAGTTTATTGCCAACATTTTTAAAAATAAGAATACTTTAGGGCCAGGGATTTAGCTCACTGGTTCCATCACCTGCCTCACAAGTGCAAGGTCCCAAGTTCAATTTGCAGTTAAAAAAAAAAAAAAAAAAACCTTTATATAACCCCTATATTCTGCTGACCTTAAAAGGAGTGGGAACCCTAGCACCATGTGGCCTTCATTCCTACAGGGGTCTAGGGAAGAATGTCACATCACCCCACCACTTCACTCTTCCTGCCTGGTCACCTAAAGCTCAGCAGGAAAAACTCCAGGGCTCTCCAGGCTCTAAGACACTACTCAGCTCCTCTGGCTGGAAGATTCTGCTGGCTCCCAGCGTCCAAGTTTGGCTATGGCCTCAAGGCACTGGGCTGACTCACCTAGGGCTTGTGCTGGGATCTGGGTGGGGCCTCCATCTAGGAGCTCTTCTCTTGCTTGGTTCCTTCCATCCTTCAATTTCCATCGGCTTCCAAAAGAAGAATTTCTTCTGTGATAGGGGCAGGAGGCCAGAGCAGGACTAAGGGTTAAAGGAGGGAAGCATCCCATTTGAGTTGCATCTGGGATAAGAGTTGGAGAGATGTTCTCCAAGCCTTCCCCTCTTCAGCATGGGCACAGACCTGACCATAGTTTCCCAGAGAGCTGCAACTTGCTCAGGGGAAAGGAGTCTCCTCGGGCTGACCCTATCTGTGGCTTTGTCTGAACCCTATGCCCTGGCTTCTGGAGCCACTGGTGGCAAAACTCTGAGGTGGGGCTAGCGGTGAGGGGCTGGAGTCAGCAGAAGGCAGGGATGCTGGGCTCCAGTAAATCCAAGAGCAAGGGTTTGCAGATGGCCTGCTGGAGGTGTGGGGAAGAGGGGCTGTGGGTACCAAGAGCCACAAGGACCCACCCAGCTGATACTGGGCCACCCTCAGCCTCTCATACCCAGTCCAGCACATGGAAGCAGAAACGTTCTCTCTGTGAAGAGGCCTTGCAGGGGTCAGACCCCACTCTTTTCCAGAACAGGAACTGAAATGCCTATAGGTAAGAGGAATGACAGGCAATATGGTCTCAAATATATAGATTTCTTTCTTTACCATTTGAGAGTTAAGGAAAATAAAATTCAAGTAATGAAGTAACCTGAGACAGGTTGTACCCTCCATGGGCCCAAACAGTAACTCAGTGCTGGGCAAGAAAACAAGAAGTAATTAACTGCTCTTATCAGACCCCATGAGACAAGAAGAAATAGGGCTGGGTCCAGGGGCCTGGAACTCCTGCCCTCTGGTCCTTCCCTTTAGTCTGGGTGGGGGCTGGAGAGGCCCTCACTGGGCTTTTTTTCTTAACAACAATAACAACAACAACAAAACTTTATTAAGCTCATAAAGACAGAAACAAGTCTGATTTTGTTCACCACGTTCTCCCTAGTATAGGCCACATGAATAATAAACATTAATAAAATGTTAATAGAAGATTGAATGAGTGAACTGAGAGCTTACTATCTGCTACGCACCATAAAGTGCTCTGGAAATTTAAAAAAAGAAAAAGTACTCTCAGAAGTCACAGTCTATTCTAGAAAACTGATGTAAGCCAACTGTGATGATGAGATCTGAACAGTGCCTGTTGTTTATGGTGTGTAGAGCATACAACATGCTGCCCAGTTCACACCCACGTGCAAGCACACACATTGGGCCTCAGGACAGGAGTGGAGAGAGGTGGGTAGAGGAGTGAGCAATGAATAATACAACCTGAGAAATTTCTCAGAGGACAAAAGTATTTGAAAAGGATGGAAAAGATCTCCCCTAAGAGAAAAATGCATGCAAGAAGACAGTTATTAATTAACAAACTTGAGCAAGACCAGAGGTGCTGGAAATGCAGGCCCCTGAGAAGTCAAAGGTAGCCAAGTTGCACAGAGGGATTGAAGACAGGAGGGAGAGGGGCCCAGGGCAATGAGCTAGAAAGGCAAGGGGCATCCAGAGAGTGCCAGACGCTTGACTGCCGGTGAGCCCCAGAAACATAAGAGGGAGCCTCAGGAACAGTGCTATAACAATGTGCCATAGACCCAGAGAGGCTTATAAATGACAGAATTTTTGCTACCTGGGAATCACAAGTTGAAGGCCAGCCTGAACAACTTAGCAAGACCCTGTCTCAAAATATAATTTAAAAAGGGGGAAATGTAGTTCAGTGCTACATGTAACAGGCCCTGGGTTCAATCCTCACTACAGGAAAAGGAGAAAATGTTCCCCATTATTCTGGAGGCTGAAGTCCACTCTTTCTGGTATCAGACTTCTACCTTCTAGTATCCTCACATGCCAGAAAGAGGACAGGGGAGCTCTCTGGCCTCCTGTTTTCGAGGCCATCATCGGGCTCCACCTTCACAACCTAACTGCCTCCCTAAGGCCCCACTGCCTAACCTTGGGAATAAGGGTTTCAACGTGGGCATCTGGAAGGAACAAACCCTCAGTCCATTGCATAGTGTGACCTTTCTCATATCACTTGATTCCCTAAACTTTGTTTTCCTCAACTCATAAAATAGGCACAAAAATCATCTCTTCTACAGAGCTATTTTGAGACTTAAATAAGACGATTAGCCAATTGTAGTGATGCATACCTATAATCCCAGCACTCTGGGAGGCTGAGGCAGGAGAATCACAAGTTCAAGCCCAGCTTGGGCAATGTATCAACTTAGCAAGACCCTGTCTCAAACTAAAAAATAAAAAGGGCTGGGGATCTAGCTCAATGCAAAGGCCCTGGGTTCAAGCTTCAAGCTCCAGTATCGGGAGGGAGGGAAGGAGGGAGAGAGAGAGACAGAGAGAGAGAGTAGACATTTGTGTGTTCTTGGCACACTGCATGGCAGCTGTGTGCTCAGGGCCCAGCAAGTCTGGTGTGGGGTTATCAGCAAGTAAGGCGTGGCCCCTGCCACTCCATCTTAACAACATGTCTAGTCTCTGACTGGGATTCCAAAGATGCAAGGGTATGCTCTGACCTCTGAAAGCCCAGGGACCTGGCCCATAGGTTTCCTGCCCTGCCCAAGGCCATGTGGCAGGACAGGCTCTCTCGAAGGATTTTCCCAGTGGTGGGTGAGGCTGGGGTGGGAGGTTGTAGCTGCAGAGACCTACAGCTGGTGACGTGGACAGCCCTACTGCACCACAGAACTGACTGGGACTTCCTTCTTACCTCTTTGCATCTGAGAAGTTCCCAGCAGCCCAGGTTGTAGGCCTAGAAGTTGTAGACAGAGGCATCAGCCTCAAGGTGGGTGTCCACCAACTATGAGATGAGAGGAAGGAAAACAGCTGTTTCTGTTCATTCTCATGGGGAAGCACCACAGGACTGACATGCTTCCCACCAGGTGAGGCAGCGGCTGGATCTATGCACCCCTACACTTGTCTGGGTGAAGGGCTGCAGGTGGGAGATAGATCCCCAGGCACGTCTGTAGCTCTGAACTTACAGACAAAACCAGCCCTGCTGGCCTAGGGCTGGCACTGAAAATGAGCCATGTCTCTGCTGCCTTTTTCTTCAGCCAAAACCTGTCTCCAGAGCTACTGAAATAACTTCTGACTGGGCTCTGGGCCTCCATTTTTGCCTTCCTACCTCCTTTGCCACCAGAGGGCTCATTCGTGCCACTGGTAGATTGGTTTGTTTGGGTAGCTCAATGAACCTGGCCCTAGGGCTGAGGGTGCAGAGCACTCAGTGGTAGAGGTCTTCTCAGTGGTAAAGAACTGCCTCACATGTGTGAGGCCCTGGGTTCCATCCCCAGCTCCACAAAAACAAACAAACAAACAACAAACCGTATGGGCCTTCTGTCTGGGACAGTACCAGCTGCCTCTGGCCACTCATCCTTCTGCAGCAGACCGCATAAAGTCCTCACAGAGGCCAGCCTACCTAATGTAGGCCTCCCATCCAGGCACTGTCTCTTTATTTCATCATATATGTCTCCATCCCACGTAATCCTCTCTAAAATCATCTTGCTCATTATGTTAGTCAGCTTTCTGTCTCTATAATAAACACCAGAGAAAATTAGTTTAAACAGAAGAAAGGTTTATTTTGGCTTACAGTTTTGGAAGTTTCAATCAATGAACAATTGGCCCCATCGCTTCACATAGGGTTGCTCGCTATGGTGAGGCAACGTGTCATGGCAGAAGCACAGGACAGAGGAGGCCTGTTCACCTCATGGCCAGGTGTGAAAGGAAGAGGAAAGTGCTGGGGCCTCATTTCCCCGCTTGAGGCCCCTCCCACAGTGACGTAAGACCTGCTACTAGGCCCCACCTGTTAAAGGTTCCACCGCTTCCCAATAGCACCAACCTGGAAAGTAACCCTTTAACACATGGGTCTTTGGAGGACATTTAAGTCCAAATGACAGTGCTTATTTACTTTTTGGCTGCTCTAAAGGGTCATCTGTCCTTTTCCTTACATCCTGTACCAGACAGGAAACAGGAAGCACATTCCACTGTGAATTTTTAAGAGAATAATAAAGGGCTGTAGACAAGACAAAGGAAATCAGCAGGGGGCATTGAGACTCCCAGAGACCACAGCAGCAGGAAATTGGTAGCACTGAGGGTCAGTAGCAGGAAATTGCATTGCTGGAGCCAGGATGAGATTGCTGCTTCCACACCATGCCCCCTCACCTGCTGCTATGCAAGAAATTACCTGAAGCTTGGTGTCTCAAAACAGCAGGTATTAAGATGGCACAGTGACCTGCACCCATGGTCCCAACTACTCAGGAGGCTGACGCAGGACCACAGTAGCCAGGCTTTGGAGGCCAGCTGAGGAACAGCAACCTCTCTCTCTCTCATTCCCTTCCTACACTTTTCTCTGTCTCTCAAAAAAAAAAAAACCCCAGGCATTTATTATTGTAGAGTCTCCATAGGTGAGGAGTTACTTCGGGGACAATTTAGCTAGCTGGTTCTAGCTTAGGGTCTCTCAAAACATTGGTCAGGGGCCGAGGATGTAGCTCAGGGGTAGTGTTTGCCTACCACACTTGAAGCCCTGGGTTCCATCACTGTACTGAGGTTAAAAGAAAAAATTGATCAGGGCTGCCAAGATCGGAAGTTGGCAGGTCCACTTTCAAGATGGCATGTTAAGGGGTTGGCAAGAGTCCTCCATTCCTTGCCTCATGGGCCTCTTCACAGGACAGCCTGTGTGTCTTCACATCATACTAGCCAGCTCAGGCCAAAGAAGGAGGCAACAGCCAGGAAACCTTTGATGAGCCAGGCTCAGCAGTCACGTCCGTCACTGCTGCCATCCTGCTGATTCTGATGAGCCCAGCAGTCTCTGTACCCAGATGGTACCCAGCGTGTAGTCGGCAAGGCAGTCAGTTTCTGGTAGGTGACTGAATGAATTTATGAAGAATGGAATAAAGGGCAATAAAGGGCTGGACCCTTGGGTCCTGGGTGTCATTACAAAGGTAGCTAGGGAGGTGACAGTAGGAGATGGTGTCACTGTCTGACAGCTGAGATGCAGCGGTATCATGGGGATGGTCCTGGATGGGCCTACAGATCTGCCTGGAGCACCTTTCCAACAGGTCACTGAGAAGTCCCTCAAACAGATCCTTCCCTGGCCTCCCAGCAGTGGCACTAGGCATTTCTGGGGAGGCTGTGGTGCTCAGAGTTACCCCAGTTGCCCTATATCCACCTCCTTCCTCACCTCTCCCTTTGGGTGGAGAAAACTGTAGGGTTGATTCTTCAATCCTCCATTGATCTGCCTGGAGCACCTTTCCAACAGGTCACTGAGAAGTCCCTCAAACAGATCCTTCCCTGGCCTCCCAGCAGTGGCACTAGGCATTTCTGGGGAGGCTGTGGTGCTCAGAGTTACCCCAGTTGCCCTATATCCACCTCCTTCCTCACCTCTCCCTTTGGGTGGAGAAAACTGTAGGGTTGATTCTTCAATCCTCCATTAAGCCACTTGCATGGAGGGGGGAAGAGAATTTGTGCTATCAGGATAAGGAGGTCAGGAGGAGGCATGAAAAGAGCAGGAATTGGGGAAAAAATTAGATGGTCTTGCTGGAGGATTTTTCCACATGCAAATGATAGGAAGAGATACTGCCCTGTCTCGTGGACACAAAGGCAGGCAAGCTTGTTGGAGGCACTAGAACTACAGGCAGAGGTTTGTCTGTCCCTTGCTCTCCTCACACCTACCATTCCCTCTGCAGACTCCTCTCTCCCACACCATCCACATAGTTGGGAACACTGCTGCTCATAGCCGTAACCTGTCAGGGTTGCAGTGTCCAGAGAAGTCCGGGCACAGCGCTGTCTTGGTCTCATGTCCAGGTTCCTGGTTAAGGGCAGATCCGCTGCAGATGGTCAGGATCGACTTCTGGACAAGCCAGGAGTCTGAAAGCGAATGCTGGTTGCACAAAGAAAGGGGTGCTGTGCTGCACCACCTGAAGAATAAGTTACCAGAGGTGAGGGGTGCTGGGCGCAGGGCACGGGGACATATGTAACATGAGGCACTTGACGTCACAGGCTCCTGGCCAAGGTTGCACAAGGCATAGCTGCTTCAAAGCAGGAGGCAGCAATCGCCCAACCTTGAAACCACACACAGATGGCACTTCCTGCTCTCTGCTTCCTCCTTTATTCCTCCACCTCCGGGTCAGCCCTGTCCAGTCCTGTTTTCCCCAAGAGGGAGGCCAGGGGGAGTCTGACAAGAGCAGGAGTTGAAAAGAAAATTAGATGCCTTTGCTGAAAGATTTTCTGCACTCAAATAACAGAAATGCCTCAAACGAACCTATCCAAAAGACAAGATTCTCCCAAGGAGGGCAGAGCAGAGCTGAATGAATTAGTGCTTAGGAGTGGCAGCTCTAAACTGGTTGATGTTTGTGTCCTGATTCTAGAAGTTATGTCTTGAAATTCTTTGTGCCTCAGTTCCCTCATTTGCAAAGTGGGGGTGTAAGGATTGTTGTGAGGTCTAGGACTGTAGAGAGTTCATACATGCAGTGCAGAGAGGAAACGCCCAGTGTGTCACAGATGCTCAAAGGAATATAAATTATAGGGCTGGGCATGTAGCTCAGTGGTATAAAGCTTGCGTCTAGCATGTCAGTGTGTCACAGATGCTCAAAGGAATATAAATTATAGGGCTGGGCATGTAGCTCAGTGGTATAAAGCTTGCTTGTCTAGCATGTGTGAAACCCTGGGTTCGAGCCACAGCATTGAAAGAAAAAAAAGCAAACCTTTGGTTTAATTTAGTTCAGACCAGTAGAACGGAACTCACTTCTGTGAAATCACTAAGTCACATTTCGTCTCAACTCTACTCTTTACTGTATGTCCATGTTTATCCAGTGAGAAGGCTGAGGTTCCCGGCAACTCCATGGTAGCAACAGAGCCCATCAATCCTTGCCTCGCTCACAGCTGCCACCTTGTGCCACAAGTGGTGTAGTGAAGCCCTTTTTTCCTCCTTTGTTCTCTTCCTTTCAGGCACAACTGCCCCTCCTGGAGGTTGGAGGGAAAATCCCTGGATTTGGAGCGCCAGAGCTGAGTGACTCAGTTCTGTTTTGGATGACCCGCAACTTTCTGTCCTGGGGTGACCTTGGAGTGATCCCACTGACCACACCCACTGATCCTGATTGCCTTTAAAGTATCTTATCTGATGCTTCTCCACTTTGGATACACAAGAAAATCACCCCAGAGAGCAGTTTAAAAACCCTGGGCCAGTGTGGCCCACCCATCCTGAGGTAGCCCAGGCATCTGTTTTGTAAAGCTCCCTGACAAAACCAGGCAAGGTGTTGCTTCCTGGCAATCAGGAGACTGAGACAGAAGGATTGCCACAAGTTCAAGGCCAGCCTAGGGTTCACAGAGAGTTTGAGGTCAGCCTTCTCAAAAACCAATGAATGAGGACTGGGAATTTAGCTCAGTGGTTCAAATGCCTACCTTGTAAGGGCAAGGACCCAAGTTCGATTCCCAGTACCAAAAAAAAGAAAAAAAGAGAGAGAGAGAATCCAATGAGTGAAAACACCAGGAATTTACCTCAGAGGTGCCATGCCTGCCTCACAAGCACAAGGCCTTGAGTTTGATTCCCAGAACCAAATAAATACATAAATAATAACTTCCTTAGGCTTCTAAGTGAGAACTGTGGCTATAGATGTGCTATCGCTATTGTTAGATCCCATTTTCACATCCCTTTTATTTTTTCCCAAGTCAACCTTGGTGCCACCCCCCTCATAACCTCTCCTCCAATCTTGGGCTGGCCAGAGCCTCTGTGGGTATCTTGACTGGCCACCCTGTGCCTAGACCCTTGCTTCTCTGACAGTGCCTTCATCTCCCATGCACCCCTCAGCTCATTCCCTGGCCAGGGGTTCAGCTGGGTGCTGAGGATGTGTCCAGACCTGTAAACCCAGGATGGCACAACACACTCATCCCCAGGATCCAAGGGAGCTTGGTTGCAGGACCCCCATACATACCGAAGTCCAGAGATGTCCGAGTCCTTTATGTAAAGTGGCATAGCATTTGCATCTAACCAAGCACATCCTCCCAGATACTGTAAACCGTCTCTAGATTACTTAACTAATACAAGGATGAATCTGCTCAACCGCTGTAACAAAATACCACAGATCATGGCTTAAACAGCAAAAGTTTGTCTCACTCTTCCGGAGGCCACAAGTATAAGCTTGGCAGGATTGTGTTCTTCTGAGGCCTCTGTAGAGAACCTCCTTCTCCCTGTATCCTCACGTAGTCTTTCCTTGGTATGTGTTTGTATCTTTGCTTCTATGAAACCAGCAGCCATCTTGGATTGCGCATTTTACCTCTTTAAAGACCCTGTGTCCAAATGGAATCAATCACATTCTGACATATTGGGGCTTAAGAAGTCAATGTACAGTCAGGCATGGTGGCACATGCCTGTAATCAATTCAAGAGGTTCAAGCAGGAGGTTCACTGTGAATTTGAGGCCTTAATTACAGCATAAGATTCTGTCACCAAAAAATAAATAAAAAACAAAGATAACATGTACATTTTGTCATGGGCTGAAGGCTGAGAGCTCAGTGATAGAGCACTTATGTAATATGCATAAGGTCCTGGTTCAGTTTCCACAAACACAGAGGCAGGCTTTTTTTTTTGAAAGACAAAGCTCAGCCCATAAAACTCAGGCTCTCCAAGTCAAATGCTGATGGGCCAAACAGGTAATGTTGACTAATGAAGTGAGCTGGGAAAGATTTGGGTCTCTCATTCTTTTATTTTCTCATTTTGAGAGAAACATAGGTAAAACATATTTCACTTTCCTCCTCACTCTGTTGAATACAAGACCAAGGACCTCTGTTCAAGGCTGTAGTCCAGCTTTCCTCCCAGAACAAGCACCTAGCACCTAGTAAGTGCTCAGTAAATAACACTGGGAGAATGAGTCAGCAGCATGGCCTGGACAGTGGGGAGTGGCAGGAGCAGGGTGAATCCTGACCAAGAGAGTAGCAGGCATCAGCTGCAGCCACCTATCACCAGATGCCCAGAAGATAGACTTCCGAATCCCCACTTCCCGGTGGTGCCAACTAGCTCACGAAGCTTAAGCCGTTCCTGCGGGCCACCTAGTGCTCCCTGCCAAGGGGCCCACACTGGGCCAGCACAGCAGCACATCCCGCTCACCTCTGCTGCTCTGCGTCTTCAAGGAGATGGGGAACGAGGCTAGGAGCCTGTGTACCTGCAGCTGCTCCCCATGACTCAGACCCTGGGCCTGTGGTTGCTCTGCAGGAGGGTGATGCTCTGGGCGCCATGGAGAAGCTGTGCCGCCAGCTGACCTACCACCTCAGCCCCCACTCCCAGTGGAGGAGGCACCGAGGGCTGGTGAAGAGGAAGCCGCAGGCCTGGTGAGTGACAGTCCCTAGGGGAGCCGCCCACACCCTCCCCACTAACTGGACCCCTCCCAGGGCAGAGACGAAGGGTTGAAGGGAAGGGCTGGGGCATAAGGAGGCGTCCTGGCTAGCGGCCTGAACAAAGTGAGGTCAGGAAGAATTTAAGGGTGGGACAAGCAGCCAAGAGCACACAGTGCTAAGGAGGGAGTGTTTTGAATTCCATGTGTTACACTGAGCACCCAGTGGAACCCCCGGGTCTCTGCAGTGTCCTCCCAGGGTGAACCCGACCCAAGCCACATCCCTGGCCCAAGCTGCATTGAGAACACTCTCAGGTTTTGCAACCCCTGCAGGAAACAAGTGGAGGGGAGCCTGGAAGGCAGGCTTCCTGGAGGAGGGAGCACCCCTGCCTTCTTCTCTGGTGACCGTAGGGCAGAGTGGCAGGCCTTCTATGAGTCTTGTCGTGAACAGGAGTATGCACTAACTGGAGGTCGACACAGTAGTAGTTGCCAAGTAGATTTTTATATATTTTATATATGTCATGCAGCAAACATGTCAATTCATGCCTGCCAGTTGCCACTCCCTGTACCTGCACAAGTCCAAGGAGCGTGACTTTGTTTCTCCTTTCCTGGTGATTGTGGTGTTCGATCTGGGGGTCCACTCCGGGCAGGTGTCCAATGTCTCGACCGAGGTCTTGTCCAAGATCTGTCTGGCAGGTTGCCGTGGAGCTAGATCGGTCACCAAGTGGGACGAGCTGGTCTTCTGCGCTCTCTTATACCATTCTAGCTGGGGGTCTGTGGCACTGGTTCAGGTTTTATCACTTCACACATATTGGGCTGTTTGAGTAGATATCGGGGTTGCACACACATTTCAGTCTTGGGGGTTACATATCAGGTTTCACACATTGAATCTGTTGGGTTAGATATCACTCTTCACGCTTGGGGGTTACATACAGGTTTCACATTAAGTCTCTCTTGGGGGGTTACATTAGGTCAGTCTCCGGAGGTTTCACTCCCCCTCCTTGGGGACACACTGATACATTGCTCTTCACATTGACAGATGATCTCTACAAGTCTTTGTCAAGGCCTTGGTGCTACTACTAAGCCATCCTTACAGGTCCCTGAAGATCAGGCAGGAAAGGCTACCCCTGCCTTCCTAGTGGAGACTGGGCTCTAGAGCGTCTTCCTTTCCCAGGAGGAAAGAACATAAGATAGACCCTGAGGAAGCCTTCTCAGGCAGATAGAGCCAGCCCAGGGAGGTAGCCAGAAAAGGGCCAGAAGGGAGGCCCCAGGACCTAGCACTTCAGGGTTGAAAAGCTCAAACTCTGAGCCTTTCCCCCAGCACACACGTGCGTGATAGGTTCATTCTTCATTCAAGAGCCACGTAAGGGAGGCTTCTTCATTCCCCACAGGGGGCTTCTCACCAATTGGAATGAAATCCAAGTAGGGTGCTATGTGCCCACACCTTCCCTCTCTGGTCTCACCTCTCGCTCCCCCACCCATGCTGCTTGAGGAACATTCCAAGCTCTTTGTAGCCTCAGCCTTGGCACCGACACTCCCACTGCTGGAACTCCTGCCGAGCTCCTCTGACAGCCCACGCTTTTTCTGTGTCTGCTCCAATGTCACCTCTTCAGAGAAGCCTTCCTGGAGCAGCCATGCCTCTACACCTACTTAGCATGTATTTATCGTCTCTCTCTCCCACAACAGACTCAAGTTAGGGATCTTGTTCACCATTGTGCCCTCAGTGCCTAGGGCAGTGCCTGGCATGCAGTAAGGGCTTAGCAGTTGTCAAAGGGGTCAATCCGGTAGGGCACAACACAGTTGCCATTTAGCCAAGATTTCCCAGCTGGTAAAGGTTGGAGCTGGACTCAAACTAAGGTCTGTGACTCCTAAGTGCAAGCTGTTAACCACACCACACAATTTCCCTTGTGCAACGCCTCTGCTTTAGTAATGACACTGACAATAGAGACCAACTTTAAGTCGTGCTGAACAAGTGCCAGGCAGTGCCCCAAGCTGTTAAATCTCCTGCCTTGAGAGCTTCACCTTTAAACTTCCGGGGGCTGGACCCCAGTCAGAAGCAACACAGCAAACTATGAACAATCCCAGCTTCAGGAGACCCCAAATATATAGCCTTACCTTCTCCTTCCCCAAGTCTGTGCCCCTTGAGCTGCTGCAGGCTCCTCTACTTCCCACTCCTGCTTAGGATGCTGGACTCAGGGCTGCCTGGATGCTTGGAATTGGGAAGAATGAGTAGTGTGCCTGGGCCTTGGCGCCAACTCAGGGGTGCCGGCAGGGCCGCTGACCCCAGAAAAAGGAACAGGAAGAAAAAGGAGCCAGGAGCAGGAGCAGCAGCTGGCAGGAGCGGAAGTGCGTGGAGAGCACTGAGCCTCCAGGCAGTCATGGCTCCCACCAGGCTCCAAAACCCACCACTGCGTCCTCCCCTGCAGGCCCTGAGGATACCCATCTAGTGGGGAACACAGACCCCAAGGAGAGACCTCAGATTTTTTGTGCCACTGCTGGGGTCAGCTCAGCTGCCACCCAAGAATAATGAAAGCAGAAGCTCAGCCTGTATTTATTTCTCCAACTCTCCTCTATAGGAAGCACTCTTCTAAATGTTTTGTATGTATTGTTCTACTGAACTGTACCACACCATTAGCTCCTTTTTTGAGGATATTAACTAGAAGTCAGTGTAGAAACAAAGGACTTAAGATGCAGGCAAACACAGGACTCACGCAGAAACACCACAGCCTTTCACTGGTAGTCTCACGCATCTGAGTCTTGACCCTCAGCCCTGACCACTCCACTCACCCAGGCTGAAAGGGGTTGAGACTGTCCTGTTTCTCCTATCCCTGCACATTTATGAAAAAGATCCCCAGTCAGACAGATGAGCACAGGTTGACCCCATGGTGGTAGCTGCTTCTGCCTCCCACAGAAGCACCGCAGCTGCCTGCCTCACTTGTTAGAAATCTGCTTGTCCTTGTCCCATCTCTTCTTCAGCCTCAAGGCTGTACTGGCTGGGAACCCTCCAGACAACACCGTGGACCTGTCAGGCATCCCACTGACTTCTCGTGACCTTGAGCGCGTGACCAGCTACCTGCAGCGCTGTGGGGAGCAGGTGGACAGCGTGGAGCTGGGCTTCACAGGCCTCACGGACGACATGGTCCTGCAGCTGCTACCAACTCTCAGCACCCTGCCCCGCCTCACCACACTAGCCCTCAATGGCAACAGGCTGACCAGGGCCCTGCTGCGTGATCTTACTGACACTCTGAAGGACTCCAGCAAGTTCCCCAATGTCACGTGGATTGATCTGGGCAACAATGTGGACATCTTCTCTTTACCCCAGCCCTTTCTGCTCAGCCTGCGCAAGCGTTCTCCAAAACAGGGCCACCTTCCCACCATCCTGGAGCTTGGTGAGGGCCCAGGCACTGGAGAGGAGGCACGGGAAGGGACTGTAGACCAGAACCCTGGCGGGAGCCCTGTATCACTTGCCAGAGACCACAGGGGCAAAGAGGCTGTGACTCAGACGTGACACTGAAGTGGGGAACCTCACCAGAGATCTGTGGAGTAGGATGGCTAAGGGAGGATTGGGGGCTCCTGCCAGGAGAGCTTAGGCTATGGTAAAATCAGCCTGGGGAGTCCTGACCACAGGCAGACCATAGGACCTGGCAGGATTTGAGCACTACTTCCCTTTAGTCTTCCCCCACACTGTAAATTCAATGTATGCCTTTGGCTCCTAAATCATTCCCAGCTCAAGAGGTTCCAAAAACCCCTCAACTCAGCCCAGGGCCTCCCCCAGACTTGGTCTCAGCAGGGGACCCATGTTTAGAGATGCTGGGAACTTCAACCAATGGGAATGTAGAGCATCTTCCCACAAGTCTAATGGGCTCCAGGAATTTTTCTGACACAGGGTCTTGCTCAGGCTGGCCTTTAACTTACTGTGTATCCCAAGCTGGCCTTAATCCCGCAGTGATCCTCAGCACACCCAACATTTTCAATATTGCATTACATTCATCCTGCCTCCCACTCACAGGAGCCTGGTCCTTATCTAGGCTAAGAACGGAAGGCCTATACTTCCTTGTGGAGCCTCAACCTCCACTTGAGGCTTCCTAAGAGGATCCTGGATGCCACTCAGCAGTGCCCAGGGCAGGCCAGGTGCCATCACAGCAAAGGCTACTTGGAAATCCCAGGCCTCCATACCACCCTATACCCCCACTGCACAGCTTTGCTTCCTTCTCAGCCCAGACTGACCTACTAGCTATATTTCAGGTGTTTTTCAGATTCCTTTAGTTCCTAAAACCCACTACAGGAGGCTCTCAAAAGGCTAGGACCATGAAGATGAACCCAAACTCCAGGTAGTATCACTGGGGGTACAGTTAGTGCCCAAAACAGCAAAGGTGTTCTCCCTACACTGACCATTAACCCAATATTCCTGGTGAAAAGGCCCCGTCAATTTCTTTAAAGCCCTTCTAGACACAATCCCTAAAACAATGCAACTGGGAACCATTCTTAAACCATATTACTTAGTACTGTGTCAAGCAAAACCTTATGGGCAACAGAATAGGGGAAAAACAGACTGCAGCCATACTATCAAGAACTAGGCGTTAGCCTCCAGCCACAGTATTTCCCATTAGGAAGGCAACAAGATGAAGGCTGGACATGTGATTTCATGGTATTGGCTAAGTATAGTTAGATCCAACTCATTCATCCCATGCTTCAAAGGACATAGACAGCAGGGACTAGCATCAAGTATGGATGCCTGAAATGCTTTGAAATTTTTGCCCTTGAAGTCTACAGTTTAAATGTTACACTGATCAGAAGTTTACTAATTTAAATGCTACCTTTTTCTTCAAATATATGTTTCTAAGAATCAATAGCAAAGACCATCTGTTATTATACTACTTAATAATGACACTTATAAACATTTCTGAAGACACAGGAGCTCCTGTTTATTGTTCAGGTTAGTGAACCACACTAAATGTGCCTGTCTTAGAAAGTTGCCAGATACAACAGTTCTGCTGAGAAGAAAGGCCTCTGATACCGGGGGTTAAGCTTCTTTCTTCTGGGATTTCAACTTTTGCTGAGATTACATCCTGTGCCATCATGCCCAACTTGTTTCTTCTGTACCAAATGCTAATGTCATTTAGGTTCTCAAACTGAATGAATGGCAGCTTCCGGTCCTTAGCCTGCAAAGAAACTAAATTTCAGTATCATTTTCTGCTCTCACCAACAGTCATTCAAAACATAAAAGATATCATCAGAAAACCGTAGGCTCACCACTAACAATCTGCCGGTAATTCCAGCTATTTGGTGATTTCATCACTTGATACCCTTCTTCTTCAAAATTAATTTTTACAACTAGCTGCTCAGTCATTCCAACATGAATGACTGTGCAGATCAAGGCTTACCTCCTCCTGGGCTGTGCTGCTGCCAGCTCTAAATCTGCACTCCAGAAATACGCCCAAACCCTGGGGAAACAAAGGCACAGCAACGTAAGGCTACAGAACAGGAAAGGCATGAGAACCTCCAAGACTACCAACTTCTTAAGTCCATCCTATTAACACTGTCCCTTACAACCTTACATAGTGGCATTTTTGTAAATGACTAAATCTACAAATCCTAAATAACTTCTTGGGTGTTACAATCTGTACTTAGTAGTGCATTTAAAAGTCACAAACCTACTAGTGTTACCTCTCATAAATGAGGACACTGTACTTCAGATCTGAGGAGATAATTTGCTCAAGATTAAACACCCAATAGAGGGAACCACTTTCTAGGTACATTCTTCTCAGTCCCACTGCCCCGAGAACTAGCCAATTCCTCCAGGACATCCTGTCAGAAAGGTCAAGGGCTACACTTACACATACAATGTTAACCAAATGAAACTGCCAAACAGCTAGGCATTCTCAACCACCAATCTCTCCAGAGACCAAAGCTTACCTGCTCCAAGGCCAACACTCCAGGCTGCAATACAAAGCTGCTGGTTTCTTCTGCCAATATACAACCTAAGTGAATGTAGAAATTCTGTCACAGCTCGGATCAACTTAACCCTGGACAACACCAAATGCTGCAGACGTGTTGACTGCAGTCAGCCAGGAGTAGTTATCGTCAGTTATCGCTTCTGACGGCACTTCCTATTAGCTATCATCAGAGCAGTCAAAACACCTCACCCCTCTCTCCAGTCCTCTTCCAACTGGAGGCATGGACACTATGTAAAACCGGAACATGTAGCTCAGTGGGCAGCTTCAATCCTCAGTACCACGTGTTAAAAAAAAAATAAGCCACCAGACACCACTTGTTTCTGCCAATGACAGTTCATATGTGTATGTTTGCTTGCCTATACAAATACATAAATGTACTTTTGCTGTACTAAGGATTGAACCCAGGGCTTCTTGTATGGTAGGCAGACTAGCTTATGGCTGTAGCTGAAACGCCATCTTAGTTTCTCTTTGAGTTTCCATATCACTGCAAAGACACACGCTATACTGTTTAAGTTACAACTAAAACATCAACATCATTACATCTCAAGTAACTAAATTACAAGTAAGTCACCTATTTTTTTGATAGTGCTGCAAGTCGAACCCACTAAGCTACACCTCCATCCCCCAAAGCGGCATACTAAACGCACCGACTTCACGATGGGATGCAGCTCCCGTCTCCAATACTGTGTACTGAGTCCGCCATCTGAAACATGGATTAAGAACAAGAACTGAGTGGAGTCTGGCAGTAACGTTTAACTATTCTGTAGAAATTTTAGGGACTGTAGTCAGATTATGTATAAATATCGTCAGTTATCGCTTCTGACGGCACTTCCTATTACTAGTTATCATCAGAACAGTCACGTATTCCTCGTGGTCCCATTACAATCCATCTATGTGTAGCCCTTGGGTTATACCCAGTTAAAGCCAAGGCGATCCGAACCTACCCAACTTTTCAGGTGTTCGGACTCCTCATGGGGACTCGGGAAATAGGATGCCGGTTTCTGCAGACACCAGACTCCTGCAGTGGTGGCACTGCCGGAAAAAAAGAGCGGTCCATGAGTCTCAGCTAACAACATTCTGCAAAATGCGGCCCTGCCATAATCTCCAACACCAGACCGCCCCGCCCAGGCCCGCAGTCGAGTTTTAGCTAACTTTCTCCAAAATCAACTTTGTAAGAAAACAAAAAAACCTGTGGTTTTTTTATCTGTCCTCGCCACCAATCTACAGCGGCCCACAAAAAAGTATACCACTGCCATGGCCACTGTAGTGGAAAAGGTCGCTCCCGTTTTAATCAGAGCCCTTAAGGAATCAGAATATCCCATAGCTCACATAAGAAGGGGTGGAACCGGCAAAGGCTCACGGGAACTTCTGCCCCATTTAACGACACAGAAACCGCGCCGCCCGGAAACTACCCCCGTCCTACTGAGAGAGTGGCCTCTTCCACGCCCCTGAGAATTCTGGGTAACGAAATGCGCCGCGAATTACGCCCCGACTGCGACAGGGCGCGATCTAGGATTTTTGCGTTTTAGTGGCGGGTCCCTTCTGGCTTATCTATTGTGAGGCTCGGATTGCGATTGCTGAATTAGAAAATGGAGACAAAGTGGTTGTGAGAGTCAAATAGGCAACGCGTGTAAAATACAGAGCCTGGGACACAGCAAGCTTCCGAAATAGTTTCAGCTCTTTAATAAGCGGAGACAGTCTGCTGTCTCCCCACAACTATTTCAAAATATACAGGGAACCTCTCAAACCCCTGCGTACTGACATACATCATTCTTTCCTTACAGTGACTTTTAAGCAGCAGAAATCTGGATCCACTTCCAGCTCCTCTTCTCTCGGTTCTAACGATGTGCCCTCTTTTCTCAACTGATTTCTCCGGACTCCTCCCTCCACGCCCTGTCTTATTTACAACTGAAAATTCTTCCTCGGCTTATTGTTTCCTTTGAGTATGTAAAAAGGTTCGGGTTTCTCCTATTTTTTAAAATAATCCTAGGCGGACATGGTGGCAGATACCTGTAACCCCGGCATTCTGGGAGACTGGAGTAGGAGAATCGCAAGTTCGAACCCAGATCGAGGAATTGAGGGAGATTGTGTCCGAAACTGAGGAAGGGTTGGGGGCCGTGTCAAAGTGGGGAGGCCCTGGGTTCAATCCTAGTGCAGTACTGGGGGAGGTCTCACTGCTATGGAGTTGAGTTTGCCTAGCACACCCAAGACCCTAGGTTCCAACTCCATCACCAAAAAGAAGAGAGATCACGAGAAAGAGAGAGGAAGGAAGGAAGAAAAAAAGTACCCAGGGCCAGGGATTTAGCTCAGTGGTTCTGCCGCCTGCCTCACAAGGACCCGAGTTCGATCCCTGGTAGAAAAAAAAAAAAAAAAAAAAAAAAACTTAAAAAAATACCTGGCTGCACGTTTTGTATGCAAATCTTATACCAAGGGAAAGCAATTCATTCGGACCTGAGAGAATTGAAACGATCAAACTTTGAGCTAACCCACTTATGCTGAAAGTTATAATTTATTGAATTTTTTGCATCAAACTCATGTAGAAAAATTCAAGAACAAAGATTTTGAAAACACAACTTAATTATGTTTCACAGTTATGTGTCCATCCAAAAAATTAAACAATAGACATAAGATGATTAATCTCAGAGTGAAGAGGGGTTTTAATGGCTCTTCCAGAAATAGCCAAGTCAAGGTGTCAAACACAAAGACCCTCAGTTTGCATGATGAATTTGGTGAGGACTGGAGAAGTGACTCAGTGATAGAGCACTTGCCTAACGTGCAATGGATAGCAGGGAATGGATGGTCAAACTTCTAAAACCTTTCACCAAATTCCCCCCTACAGACTGCAGGTATATAGGGGAAGACTGAAGGGTTAAGGACTCCTAAAGTTTCCTGGGGAACTTCTCAGGCCTTGAGAACATGACAGTGACACAGATGTCTTGTATCTTAGGAAAACCCCTCAGACTCCTACAGAGAATAGCATGGAGGGGAGAACTGAGTATAAAACCCCTCACTGGGGGAAGGGGTGACAAAAATCCAGAGCCTAAACTGGTGAAAGGAAACTAGACTACAAGATACCTTGGAGCAAATTGTTATCTGCTGTGCTCCTCTCTTCTTCCTCCCTTCCTTCTGAGTGGTTGTTTTTTTGTTTGTTTGTTTTTCTATAGGTACGTTTTACATATACACAATGATAACATCATATAGTTTCATTTGTTTTTGAGGTGAAGTCTTGTTAAATTGCCCAAGCTGGTCTCAGACTTAAATCCTCCTGCCTCAAGTAGCTGCCCAGCTTGGAAGTGAATTTACCTGATATCTGATGGTACAGAAAGAAAGAAAAGTAGCTGTGTTTGCCCAGGTTTACTGCCAAGTCTGCCCTGAGAGCAGGCACAGCACCTCAGGCAGCAGCCTGCCACCAGGGTGAGGATAGTACTAGGACTGGGGAGAGTACCTGGAGGTTTTGAAGTTGAGAATAGCCTTGTCCCATAACCCAGATGCATACACATAGAGACATGCAGATGTTAGACCGTGGGTCTCAGCAAATAATGTTTGCTGAAATAATACTTCCAAAAGAACTCGTTGTGAAAAAAGTATTTATGTTTCCACCAAAATTCAAGAGCCCCAGAACTAGCAGGTGTGGCTGAAAAGATTCCTGCTCCATCTGGCCATCAACGGGACTGGAGGACCTGGAGGGGCAGGTGGTCCTCCTGTGAGAAAGGCTCTTCCTTGTGTTGAGAGGTCAGTCCGGGATTCTTAAAGGTGCCTGTAATTACGATGGGAAACAGAAAACCTGAGAATGCTGAGGAACAGTAGACATAAGGGTTAGATGCTCAGAGAATGCAGAGGTGAAAAGAACCCATCCTGTAGAAAAGGTGGCAGATGTGGAAACCCAGAGGGAGGAAGGGGCAATGCACTGCAGCAGAGACAAGAGCCAAAGGAAGCAGAAAAACAAGGAGTATTGATTGCAGCCATGTGGACTGAGGCATGGGGAAGGTGTTGGACTACACATTACCTAACACTGAGAATGTGGCCCTCCAGGCAGCAGGGGGCAGCAGGAGCTCTGAGCCTTGAAGAGTTTTTGTCTGCACTAGTAGGAATCTAGTGGGATAAGCCGGGAGCAGAAAGATTTTGCTGAAGGGGCAAGGTGAGCTGGTTATGGTTGAGGATGCCTGTGATTCTAGCCCTCCAGAGGCTGAGGCAGGAGGATCTTAGTGTGTTTGAGGCCTACTTGGGCTGCATAGTGAGTTCAAGGGCAACCTCATTACAAAATGACTTTGTGATCCATCTCACAGAACTTAATAACAAATGTGTATGTAAATGCTTTTCACATTGAAATTATATAGATATTTGATTAAAAAATTTTTAAATGAGGCCCTGTGTCAAAAAAACACAAAAAATGCAAGCCATAGTGGTGCACACCTATCATCTAAGCACTTGGGAGACTGAAGCAAGAGAATTGCTGCAAACTGGAGGCCAGCCTAGGATACACAGTGAGTTCAAGGCCCAGAGTATGTAGCAAAGTATATTGCCTCAAAAAAAGAAAAGAAACAAATGAACAAACACAGAGAGAAAAAGAAAAAAACACAAGACAACCTGAAGGTCAGAGTACAGGCACCCTGAATTGAAAAGCAGGAGAAATGAAAGGCAGCAGCACAGAGGTGAGTGGCTTCCTGAGAAGTCCAGGTGAAAAAACCAATGTAGGGGTCTGCAGAGAGGCTCCAGCCCTGCCGTCTAAGCACAGTGGGGTGGGAATGCTACAGGTTACCTGGGAGGGCAGCCCAGGCATGGACAGCAGGCAGCGAGGTGTAGGGTTGAAGCATGGAAGGCCGTGGGCAAGATGAAGGACAAGGTGACTTTCAGAGCCTTGGCATCGAAGTAAAGGCAGGGAGACGCATAGAGTGTGAGGGTAAAAAGGAAACATTTCAGTGTGTGGGGACCGGGGCTGGGAAACTAATGGGCTTAGAGCAGAATTGGGCCAGTGGAGCCTCTACCACAGAGCTCACAGGCAACTCAGAGGCCCTTGGGGCTGGGGAATTTAGGGGATGCAGGCGAAAGCAGTTGACATTGGTAAGGAAATAGAAGGAGGAAGACAGCCAATGGAACAAAAGGTGGAAGCTCTTGAAGGTTTCAGAAATAAAGGATAGGCTGGTAGGACCTTTTAGGCACATGCCTGTGATCCCAGCACTCTTGGACGCTGAGGCAGAAGGATCACTGCAAGGTGAAGGCCAGCCTGGGCTATACAGTGAATTCAAAATCAGGCTGCACTACAGAGTGAGACCCAGTCTCAAAACCAAAAACAAAGGTAAGCTGCAGAGAATCCATGGAATGGGTATATGAGGTGGGATGAAGCGGTAGGTTTTGATGGAGGCCCTGAGTGGGAAAAGGAAAGACGTCCTGTGCTACAATGTAGAAGACACCGTGCACAGAGATGAGGAGAGGCATAACAAGGGCTTCTGTAGGATGTGAAGAGGCTGTGGGCTGGTGTGATGGGGAAAGCTTGGGATCAACCAGGCTGGCCTATAAGGCAGTGCCCTCAGGACCTAAAGCGAGGCCACCTATTTGAGGGCCAGGTAAGAAGCCTTTCCTAACTTGCTCCCCTGCTGGGGCCCCAGGCTCAGCTCAGATCAGACAGTGGGTGGGTCCTGAGTAGGCCATTTGGAATGGTTGACTGTAATCCAGACAGAAGAAAAGGTGAGGTGAGACCAGGAGAGAGACAGGGAGAAGGCGGGGCTGAGGCCTCCTCCTCCTCCTCCTCCCCCTCCCCTAGACTTCAAGATCATGTGATCCAGCAGCTACTCACCAGAAATGCCTTGCCCTGAGGGGTCTTCACACACTGTGGGCAGCGTCTGCTCCCAGGCAGCCCAGTTCACTTCCTCCACCCTGTCAATAACAAAGCAGCCCTCAAGTCCTGGGAAGCAGCATCGCATCCTACCTTAGAGAGATCAAGCCACTTCTCAAGTCAGTGAACTGTGCAGATGCTCTAGTGGACACAGGGACAGGGAGAGGTGGGATTGCCCTGCCCTGCTCTGTGGACATTGGGCCTCCCATATCCTGCCAGGAGCCCCTTCCCTCTGAGCTCTTCACAGCAGCCTGTGTTGCCCAGAGCAAGCAGAGAAGAGGGACAGAGGTCAGACCCAGCCTTGTGTTCTGGATTCTAGGAACCTTTCATACACAGAAGCCTCATTCTCTCTCCCAGCTTGACTGCATTCCCATAACACTGTGCCATTCTGGATGTGTTTGTCACCTGGATCCCTCTCCTAGCACCCAGCTTTTGCTGAGCACATAAGGAGTTATACCTCTAAGAACAGGTTGGGAGAACTGGTGGTGGGGGTGCAGCCCGGGCCAGGCCACTAGGAAGAGTCAGAGGTCACCAGGGAGGAGGCTTCAGTTTAAGCCACTCAGATGGGCAGATGGCCAGAACCACCGGCAGTGCTGCAGTGGGCTGTGCGAATCAGTATCCCTGCCCTCATTTGCCTGGGTGGATTTCTCTGGCGCTCCTCAGCCTTTCCTCTCCCACAGACCTGGCTCCTAGCCACCGCCCTAGCTTTCTGGAGAACGAGGCTGGCCTGCACCGTGGACAGGCCCCAGGGATTCCTGGGTCAGCAAGGCCCCTGCCCTGTTCTGTCCACCTCGCTCACCTGAAGCACCAACGCTCGTCAGGGCTTCCATCTGGCCTAGTGCCCAATGTCAGCAGAACGCCTGACTGCTGCTTCTTCCTCCTGCACCACCAGTAGCCATTTTCCATCTCCAAGACACAGATGGCTTTCTGAGGATAAAAGATGCATCAGACAGAGTGGCCCAGGACCCTGCCCGAAGAAAGAGGCACACAGGGCAAAGGCAACAAGAAAATACCCAACAGTAGTCCACAGTGTAATCCAAAGTCTACTACGCGTGTGGATTCGAGTCTAGCACCAACATCTGATTCTATGGTGCGGGGCCCTAACTCTCTGAATTCCAGTTTCCCTCATGTAGACCTAGGATATTGCAAGTGAAATGGTTGTTGGCAAGTCAGAGTGCAACAAAGCTGGACAATGACTTGCTCTTGCAGCGTTTCAGCCCCCAGAATTCCATATCATCTGGTGGAGAACTCCACCTGCTCTACCTTATACATATGCCTGCCGCTCGCAGACAGACAAGCGACAGGAAGCACACTGTGTGCAGGTGAGGGAACCAAGGCTCAAAGAAGACAAGGGGATGGCTGAAGACACCAAGGGGTTGGCCAGAGTCCAGGCCCTGCTCCAGCTGCCCGGTAAGCACCCGATCCTTCTTTGTGCAAGACCCAGCTGTCGTATGCACTGTAGGTGGGTGTCCGATCAGTGTCCCAGGTGCTGCAGGCTGGGCCAGCCCTATGATTTTACACCCTGACTACCTTCATTATCAAACGGGACCTATTTTCTGTATGAGGAGGATGTAAAGGTTCATTGGTGAATATGGGTGGTTCATGAAGGCAGAGATGAGCTTTATTTTGTGCAGCCCTGAAAGCTGTTGCTGGACACACCATAAAAAGTACTCCAGAAATATGTGATGCCAGGCATGGTGACAGGTGCCTGTAATCGTAGCGTCTCAGAAGTTGAAACAGGAGGAGTGCAAGTTGAAGTCCAGCTTTGGCAATTTAGTGAGACTCTGTCTCAAAATAAAAAAACAAAAAGCTGAGATGCAGCTCACTACTCCCCCAGTTCAATCCCCAGTAACACAAAAACAAAAAAAAAGGAAGAGGAAGGGGAAGGGTTGCATCCAGGAGCACATCCAGTTTTCATATCCTTCTTAGGAAAGAAGGAATGGATTGAGGAGTCTGTGGGGTGATTCTGCTAAATTGAGTAGAGTGCCCTGGGGACCCAGCCTTGGGCTCTGGGGTGGGCTGAGCTCTGTAGAGTCCTGAGAATGCCTCAGCAGACCCAGAACACAGAGTGAGGGAGAAGAGGGGAGGGAAAGCTTGCTGTGGCACCTGTAGCTTCCATATGCTCCAGCTGTCAGTGGCAACGCTGTTGACTGTCTCACTCATGAGGGCGATAAGCATGTTGAGCAGCAGGACGTAGGTGAGCATAACGTAGGCCAGCAGTAACAGCAACACTACCCCTCGGAAGCGCAGATGCTCCTGGAAGGCCAGCTCGCCCATGCCGATGGTGAACTTGAAGAGCTCCAACGAGGCATCTAGGATGGTCCTGTACGGGGCCACCTCATCCCCCTGTCCTGTCCCAGGCTGAGCAACCTCTGTGGCATTGAGGCTTGCAGGGACTTTGGGGTCCCGGGACTCCTGGCTCAGGCTCACCAGGGCTGTGGGAAGGATGGAGGGGTTCCTCAGACCGGGGGACAAATAGGGAGCCTGTACATGGCAGGGAAGGGATAAGCAGAGCCCAGAGAGGGTCTTTACCTATAGCGAAGCCGAAAAGGAAGACTAAGTAGACCAGCAGGAAGCGGAGCAGGTCCCGCAGGATAACCTGGAACACACAAGCACATGAGCTGGGCTGGGCGGCTGGGGCACCACACTCAACTCCCCAGCCCCAGAACTGAGCACAGTTCCCATTGTACCCACACAAGCATGTACACAAGCACACATACAGAAGGATAACAATGAATGTTTAAATTTTTAAAAAATGGTTACTGTTAATAACACATTGCCTCATGTAAAGGTACAAAATGTACCAATAAACCCAATGAGAAAAAGAAAATTACACATTGCCATTATTCCCCCTTCCTTAGAACACACTTATCCCATTGTTTTGCCACCCTCTGAAATAATTCTGGAAGTCCTCTTTCATGAGTGTCTGTAAAGTGTAAATAAAAAGATACAGTGAATGCTACTGCTTCCACTATATCCAGCAGAAAGCCAGACTTCTACAAACATTACACTGGTTCCTCATCCGCCTTTTTAATCAGTTCTAGTACTGTGTCCCTTCTGGCTCTTACTGAAAGTCAAAATAACCATGAAAGGCAAACATTTTAAACTGATATAGGGCATTGAAAATGGAGACTCAGACCAGCCGTGGTGGCACACAGCTATAATCCCAACACTCAGAAGGCTGAAGCAAGTGGATTGCTTCTAGTTCGAGGCCAGCCTGGACTACATAATGAGTTCAAGGTCAGACGGAGCTACAAAGCAAAACCCTATCTCAAAACACAGACACACAACAGAGACACAAACAGATATTTGTACACCGTATTTGTAGCAGCGCTATACTATTCACAATAGCCAACTTATGGAATAAAGTGTCCATCCACTGGTAAATGCATACACAAAATGTGTACCATACCATAAGATGCCATTCATCAGTAAGACGAAGTAAATCTGTCACATGCTGCAGTATGGATGAACCTTGAAGACACTGTGGTAAGTGAAATAAGCTACTCACTGGACAAGTACTATGTGATTCCATTTACATGAAGTTTCTAGAACCAGTAAATCATACAGACAGAAAGGAAATGATGGTTCCCAGGCTGAGAGAAGGCGAAAAATGTGTTGTTTAATGGGCATCAAGTTTCTTTACTAAGATGAAATAGTTCCAGGCCAGGGATTTAGCTCAGTGCTTTGACCGCATGCCTCAAAAGCATAAAGACCCGAGTTCCGTCACGACTACCAAAAAAAAGATGAAACCGTTCTGGAAATGATGATGACGGCTGCATAACAATGGGAATGTGTTTAATACCACTTACCCGTACACTTAAAATGGTACATGTTGCTTTTGCTTTTTTTTTCCAATTCTGAAAATCAAACTCAGGACTTAGCCCTTGCCAGACAGGTGGATCACCATGGACCTAAATGCCCAGCAAAATGGTAAATTTTTTTTGTTTCTTTCTTTTTTGAGGCACGGTCTCCTTTGCAATTCAGGCTATACCTGAACTGTGCAGCTCAAGCTGGCCACAGATCTCAGCCTGCACAGTGCAGGGATTACAGGTGTGTGCAACCACGACAAGCTTGGTAAATGTTTATATTAGGCTTTTCTTTTTTAATTTATTTTTATTCATTTATTTATTTATTTATCTTTAGATAAGGTCTCATGTAGTTCAGTCTAGCCTTGAACTCAAAATGGTGCCCAGGCTGGCCTAAAACAAATGGCTATCATTCCATCTCAGCCTTTCTTGGCTAGGCTCTTGACTTCTCACTGTGCAAAGCCCCTGATCCTGACCTGCCTTGCCAACTTCTTCTCCACTTTGCCTCTCTCCCCATCTGCCTGGCCTCTTGCCTCTGCCTCATGCATGCACCTCGTCCTGACTCACCATCTTCACCTTTGTTATTATCTCTGTGAAGGATGCTTCCTCCTTGACCTTGACTCTACTGTGACCAATTGTTCTATCAGATCTCCACTTAGACATCAGCTCTCTAAAGCACCCTCCACCCCATCTGTCTTCCATCATATTGTCCCATGATGTTCCTTTATACAGTTTAACAGTTGGCCGTGTAGGCAGTGGTTTCCTTAGTGTTTTTCCCCACTGGACCGTCAGCCCCAGGAGCGCAAAGACTTGTCTCTTTTGCTCACTCTTGTTATTACCAACATTTACATCAAGGCCTGGCCTGCACTGGGTGCTCCTTAAACATTTATGGAATAAATGGATGGCTGCAGATGCCCTCCTGTTCCCAGGCACAGACATACATATGAGCGTATCCTCCGCTTCTTTGTGAAGAAGGGTGCATGTGCTCCCGTGTGGGTGCCTGCAAACACACATGTGCGTGTGTCTCTGTGTCCCTGCATGCCCATACAGCACTTGCATGAACATTTGGCGAGCATCTGGGTGAGTGACACTCAGGCAGACATGCTCGTGCTCTCCTCTGCTCAGGATCGCTGTGGAGGAAGAACCCTGCTTCCTGGGGCCAAAGGGAGTCCCTCTGTGCTGTGGTGTCCAGCCCTGCCCCATCTCTCACCTTCTGGATCATGACACTGTAGATGCCCGTGTACTGGAAGCCGCGTGTATAGTACAGCAGGTTCAGCCAGCCCAGCACCAGCGAGGACACAAGCAGGGGCAGGTACCACTCAATGGACATGAAACACAAGACCTGGGATAGCACCGTGAGCAGGGCCTGGGCCAGGCTGTAGGGGCAGGGTTCCAGTCAGCTCCCGGGCCACACTTGGCAAAATCCCCCAAGTCCTACTGGCCACCCCAGACCACAGCTGTGGCTCCCACAACAGTCTGTTGGTGTGAAGTGTTCTCCCTTTGGGACTGAACCAAATCACTGCTAGACAAGTTCGTCAGCCTTTGTGGGTTTTGGTTCCCTCTCCTAACAAATAGGTATAATAACTGACACCTGATTCAGAGTGCTTTCAAGGATCGAGTGAGACACATGGAAAGAGGCAAAGCTCCACATGTGTGCAGTGAGGGCTTAGTAAAGGTAACCATCACATTGGTCCACAAGGACAGGAGTGGGAAGGGCTCCCGGCTGGATAGGAGGCAGGACTCCCAGGTCTGGCCTGTGCCCAGGTCCCGACCCTCTGGAACTCCCTGGGCTGCCCCAGTGTCATTGCCTCTAACTGCAGCCTGGTGCCCTCTTCCATACCCACCACCCCGGGCCTCAGAGATAGTGTGCAGTAGGAGTGAGAGTCCACATACAAGAGGATTTCAAAGTAGCTGTCCACAAATGAGATCCAGATGAACAGGCGGCGACGCCAGAAGTACCAGAGCTGCAGAGAAGGAGAACAGAGGGTGTGAAACTTGCTCTCCGGGCAAAAGAGGTCAGCTGTCCTCCGGACTGCGGGGCCCCTGCTCACTGCCTGCTCCCTGCCTGCTGGCCTGCCTGCATCAGGCCTGGGGAGCATCATTTTGGAGTTGAGAAGGCAGCTTTGATTTGGGAGTCTCATGAATCCTTACAAACACTCACATGGCTATGGAGCCTCTTTCAGAAAAGAACAGCTGGGCTGAGCATGCATGAGGCCCCGCGCTCCATCCCCAGTACTGAGGCGGAGGGACGGGGGAGAACAGCCTCACATAGGCACTCAGTGCCGGGGGCCTCCTGGCCCATCTAATCAGATGAAGAGCCCACATACTGCACGTGCAGAACAGAAGAGCTTCTTTCCTCCCCGTCTCCGTTGCCTTCTGAGGAGCACCCTGTACTTCAGACAACCTGAGCGTGGAACCTAATTCGACCTACTCTGTCCCAATATTTTGGTTCCAGCTTCACTCTTGCAAGCTTGCAACATTGCCAACTGGGAATGCTCTGCTGCAGGAGGTGGGCTGAGTCCCACCTGCCATCAGCCGTCTGTGCTCCCCATGTGATAAAGGCCAGCCGAGGAACTCAGGGCTAGGGGCTTCCAGCTCCATCTTCGGGGACACAGAGCCTAAACGGGCAAGGACTCAGAGAAGCCAGCTGCTACCCCATGGGTGTCCCAAAAGGCACAGAAGGGAGAGTTCCAGAGCTCCAGAAGGCAAGGCTAGGACCTGTGCCCCTCCATTGCCGGCAGGCTGGTCTTGGTGGAACTGGGTATGGGCGTCCGTTTCCCCATCAATAAAGGGATTGTTTTCAACTCACTGGCCTGTACGGAGGCCCTCACCTGGACAAGGAGGAGGTAGATCCCCCCAAGGAGGATCAAGATGTGGCCCACCAGGAGCATGGAGGTTCTGGGCGATGAGTCCAGCCATGAGGAGGCCTGCTGAGGAAGGACACATACACATTCTGGTAAGTCCTAGGGCCTCAGCTTCTCCCCAGCAGCTCAGACCAAAGCTCAGGGACCACTCTGAGCCTACACTATGGCACAGCCGAAGAAACATGGTCTCCAGGGAAGAACCCCCGGATTCTAGTGCCTTCAGAGGCACATCGTGTAGCAGTTACAAACATAGGCTCCAAGCCAGACTGCCTGAGTTCAGACCCTGACTCCAGCACTTACAGAGTGTGTGACCTTGGCTAAGTTACTTAACCTCTCTGTGCCCCTGCTTCTCTCACGTGTAACTGAGGGTGAGAAGAGTTTGTTATTCCAGAGGCTTGTTGTGAGCATTCGTGAGTTAACACATATCAATCATGTGTGGTGAGCACTGAGTGTCCACTGTGACATCTGTCATCACCACTAGGGGGCTGGCTTCTGCAGTTGGTACTCAGACCCTGGGTGCTTCACTCAGGCTGCCTTTGTAGGATGGGGCTGGTGGTCCCTGCCCCATCTGCCTCCGGTTGCTTCCAACAGGCCTCCCTAAGGACTTCTCTCCCTGCCCGTGCCTGCTCCAGGGCTGGCTGGTGGTAGGCAACAGCAGTGAAGATGAGCACGTAGATCAGATAGCACAGGAAGTTGAAGAAGAACTTGGAGATGAACTGATCCCATTTTGCCTGCAGCAGTTTGTTCAGTGGCTCCAAAACTACCATGCGGTGTCGGTGCTGGGGGAAAGAGAAGAAGAGCCTTGGGTATAGAGGTTTACAGGATAAAGACAGCAGGTATGGATAGAGCCTCCACTTCCCGCCAAGCTCCGTACAAGGGCCAAGGGAAATAGAGGGCAAAGGACCCCCAAATGGTCCCCTCCTCACCTGCCTCCACCCCAGCTCTACAGTGACCGAGGGCTGCCCCCTCCATCCCACAGCAAAGGCTGCTCAACAGAGAGAGCGCAGTGCTCGCCACAGGGACAATCCCTGTGTTGCATGGGCCACAGTGTATTATCATTAGTATGGGTCTGATGGCCAGGGTCAGGGACATGCAGCCACAGCCCCACAGGGACAGAGCAGGTGTGTTCCAGCAAGCAGCCATGACTTGTGCGGCTCTGCTGGGCCCTCTGGGCCTGGCCACGCCCCCTCGGACTCACTGGGCTCCTGCAGTGAAAGGCGATGATCTCCAGCACCGAGTTCTCCTCGCAGCTGTCCACGGAGGCCAAGTCATAGAGTGATACCCGGACAGGCCCGTAACACCACTCGGTAAACTTGCGCGAAAGGGCCTGGCACGGTGCTGGGAACTCCCGCTGCAGGATGTGCTTGAAAATCTGCAGGAGGACACATAAGTTTGCTGGCTGGGCCCTCTCCAGCCCTGATGCTGGGCCAAGCCCGGGAAACGGTCAGCACCCTGCAGAGCTACCCTTCTGCGGAGCTGCAGCACGTGTGTGCCCAAGCCCTGTACCCAAGCGCCCTTGTGAGTCTAAATTCGCCTATCCATCCTCACGTGCTCAGCCACACACGGGGCAGAATCTTTTGCCCACCCTTTCACATAGGTCATCAAACTGTGCTTCAACCTGCCAAGTACCTGGGATTACAAATTTAAACTATTTCTACCAAAAGACTTCCTCAAAAGGCCGGGGATTTAGCTCAGTGGTGCCACCGCCTGCCTCGTAAGTGCAAGGGCCTGAGTTTGACCCCTGGCACCAAAAAACAAAAGCAAAAAACTGTCACATAAATCAAAGTTTTAGACATGAAAATGAACCTCTCTGGAGAAGAGTTAGTCCAGAGAATAATATAAATACTTGTATGTATATTATGTATAATTACATCACATAAATGGTATGACAACAATATGTAAATAATATAATACAATTGCATACATAATACGTAATATATGTATGGGGAGATCAAGGTTCTTTCACATGCTAGGCAAGTGCTCAACCACTGGCTACATCTATAGTCTATATAAAAATCTCTTTTTTTTTTTCTTGACACAGGCTTTCACTATGCAGTTCAGCCTGGCCTTGATCACACAGTGATCCTTCTGCCTCACTTTTTAAAAATCTTATACAAGGAAATAAATCACAGCAAAAGCAAACACCTTTTTAAAAAAAGGTAAGTATACTTGCACACATAAATTTTTTGTTTGTTGTTTGTTTTTTTACATGGGATTTTTGTTTGTTTGTTTTGGTACTAGGGATTGAACTTGGGACCTTGGGCTTGAGAGGCAGGCAGTAGCCGCACCGAGCTAAATTCCCAGCCCTTTGATATGGGCTCGTACTATGTTACTCAAGTTGGTCCCAAACTCGTGGCTCTAATGACCATTGCACCTCAATTGCCCAGGCACGTGAGACGACAGGCATATGCCCAGTTGCACACATAAAATTTTTAATTTTTATGGAAAAAAATACCTTAAAATTAAAAACCAGACATCAGACTTGCAGAAAAATTTGCAAAGCAGGCAAAATGCTAAGTGCATTGTAAAGAACTGCTACCAATCGATAT